AAAAAGAAGAGAAAATGCATCCGGTGTTTTATTTTTCTAAAAGAACTAGTGAAGCAGAGTCGAAATATCATAGTTTTGAGCTTGAAACTTTATCAATAATTTATGCACTCAAATGGTTTAGAGTTTATTCGCAAGGTTTGAAATTTAAAATAATTACGGACTGTAATACATTAATTTTAACTTTAAATAAAAAAGAAATGAACCCAAGAATAGCAAGGTGGGCGCTAGAACTTCAAAATTATGATTATGTATTGGAACATCGATCAGGCAGTCGTATGCAACACGTAGACGCGCTTAGCCGTTGTAATAATATCTTAGTTTTAGAATGTAATACACTTGAGGAGAATATGATTATTTGTCAAAACAAGGATCGGAAGTTAAAAGAGTTGCGTGACCTATTAGAGAAAACTGAACATTGTTTATATGAAATGCGTAATGGTGTGATTTATAGGAAAAAAGAGAAGGAATCGGTTTTATTTTATGTTCCAGAAGATATGGAAAACCATGTGTTATATAAATACCACGACGTGATGGGGCACTTAGGGATAGACAAAACAATGGATATTATTTCGAAAAATTACTGGTTTCCTCAGATGAAACAAAAAATTACGAATCATACACAAAATTGTTTGCAGTGTATAACAATTTCAGCTAAACATGGTCGAGAAGAAGGATTTTTGCATACTATACCAAAAGGAAGTATACCTTTTGAGGTGGTACATATAGACCATTTTGGACCGGTTGATAGTTCAAGAGCATTGAAATATATACTAGTTGTGGTGGATGCGTTTACAAAGTTTGAAAAATTATATCCGACAAAAACAACAAAAACTAGAGAGGTAGTACGTGTATTAAAAGATTATTGTCGATCGTATAGCCGTCCCAAAACAATAGTGGCTGATAGGGGTAGCTGCTTTACTTCGGTTGAATTTTTGAATTTTTTGAAAGAAGAAAATATTAAACATGTTAAGATAGCTACAGGGTCACAACAAGCAAATGGCCAAGTTGAGAGGGTAAATAGAAACATATGTCCTATGATTGCAAAACTTTCAAGTTCGGATAAAAATGTTTACTGGGACAATGTAGTAGAAACGGTTCAATTTGCTTTAAACAACACTTTACATAGAACTATAAAAGAGTATCCTAGTGTAATGTTATTTGGGGTTAAGCAGCGAGGGAAAGTACTAGATTTGTTGAGAGAAAATTTAGTTGACGAGGTCCAATGTCAGGAACAAAGGTCTTTTGGGGATATTAGGGTTAGTGCAGCAGAAAATGAAAAGAAGTTGCAAAAATACAATGAAGAGTATGTAAATAGCAAGCGGAAGGCTCCGAACATATTTAAGGAGGGGGATTACGTGATGTTGAAAAATTTCGATTCTCACATTGGTGTGTTGAAAAAGTTAATTCCAAAGTTTAAAGGTCCATACATGATAGTTCGAGTGTTAAAAAATGATCGTTACGTGGTGAAGGATGTTGAAGGAAATAGGCAGAATCAAGGTGAATGAGGAGATCAGGAGATCTCAATTGTCAGGATGGCCGAATTGTAGCATGTATGGTAGTGTACTGTATTATTTTGTACTTGCGCATGATGTTTTGTAGTGATCTGTGTTTCAAATGATCCGACATAAAAGTTCGTTCACACTCGTATCACACTCTCATTCACATTTCCCCTATATGTATGTATTTGTGTTTCTTGTCTGATTGTTTTGTTGAATGTTGTCTTGTTCTGGTTTATATGTTCTTATATTGTAAAATACTTTTTATGTTTCATTCTGATAAATGTATGTGTGTATGTAAATACTTAGTTCAAGGGGGCGTAAACTTGTGTAACTCGTTGTTGAATGTATGTAAAAGGGGAGCATGCGTACGTCACTCGTTGAAAAGGGAAGTGAACGAATAAGTTTTTCTGTATTGTGATAATTTGTATTTCAAGCAGAATGAAAAGATTTATTGAACAGAGCGGATGTGTATTGTTAAATTACGGCATCCTACATCATAAAAATACAATCGCCGTTCGGAGTCGGCGTAAAACTGTAGGTCCCTCCGCTTTGTGTGACAACATCAAGGCGCACGCCACAAATCGGAGCAGAAGCTCGGCCAAACACTAACATATATGTAAGCGCCAATCTATTATTATATTATTATTATTATTATTATTAATTGAAAGATGTGCCAATAGCGTTGTTATATTTATTGGTTAGCAATAAGTTTTCTAAAAGTTAACGAAATGAAAAAAAAAATTTTGAAACAGGGAAAAGAAAAAATTTGAGAAACTGAATTTGAAAAAAAATGAATTAAAAAAGTTTCTAAACGTTAAATAAAATAAAAAAGATTAATTTTTTAAGCAATAACACTTGTTGTCATATTTATTTTTATTTGGAATTAAATTGCGACGATTGAAAATAATATAACTATTGCAGCAGACCTACTCGATATGAGGTGTAGAGATATTTCAGTGAGACCCGCTATCACTTTAAACGCAAACAATTGATCAAACACTCGGAATAAATATACAGCTGCAGCGCACCGACAAACACGTCTACTCAGCTTGACATTCTTTACTTATAGTATAGTAACGATATAATACTCATTTAAAATATCGCTGTAAAAACATCGGGTACCGATTAATATTGGGATAAAAAGACTCGATATTCCAAATATCAATACCAAATTCAAAAAATTAAATCTGAATATTGGTCTAATTTTCTAATAAAGAATGAACAATTTTGCACTTTAATAAGTGGTTGCTTATGTTGAGGTAAGTGTGTTACTTAACATCACCGAAGGCATGGGTCGAAATCCCGCCTCGTGCCAACTTAAGTAAGATAGTACACATTTGTGCTCTTTAAGGCCAAAAATATATTCATATTGCTTTTCATATAAGTTCCAAAGTATAGACATATTTATGGGCGTTTCCAGGGGAAGGTCATGGCACGACCTAGGTTTGCAAAAAATTGAACAACTAGGTAGCGCTGAAGTCAAAATAAAAATATATATTCGACATGAAATGCATGTTTTATTTGCGTTAAAAATTAGTTTAATAACAATATTAACAAAAAAGTTTAAATGGAAATTTTAGTAACGTAACGTCATGCAACATCACGTCAGATACTTCGGCTAATAAAAAAGGAGGAAAGATTTTTATATTTTGAAACTTGGAAAATTAACTTTAAATATTTAAAATATTAACAAATAAAAATTATACAAATAATCTTGCCCAATTCCCAGAGTTTTTAAATGTTGACGATTTCAATTTTTTTAACATTTCGTCACGCCACGCGGATTTTCCTTAAGCACGTAAAACTCGTAAGTTTACGAGGCTTTTATGGGAACGCCCCCTTTATGAAAAGTTGTAAATAGTTGCGTAAAGTGTCTGTTTGACAGATCAGCCAGGATTTCGTGAAGCAATTTTTGTTTCGTAGTATTTTCCATTACATACCGCCATCTTGTCTCTATCACTTTTGGTTAAAATACAATTAAAAATTCCGAAAATTAGCAAAAAATCTAAGTAAATACAGTTAGCGGATGAAATTCGTTCATTCTATTCGCTTATAATTTTTTTAATATATTTTCATTATTTTATCATACATTTATTTATATTTATATTTTGTATAAAAATTTCGGCCCCTCGGCAACACTGAAGTTTACGAGGTCATTTGCGCATCAATTTTACCTCTTAATTTTACGAGGGGCTCGTAAATAGAGCTCCATTCAAATTTTGACAGTTCTTTTGCGAGACTAGTAAATTTACGAGCTTTACGAACCTTTTACGAGTTTAAGGGAAGACCCCTATAAACTTTGTATTGTACATTTACGATTCGATACGATACAAAGGTTCTGTTACTCGATTCCAAAAAATATCGTTTGAAAACTATCGAGTAAAAAGTATCGGTATCGAATGGCAAAAATATCGATATGGTATCGTATCGTATCGAAATTAGTGTCCCTAAGTGTTTGTGTCAGTGGTAAACACCATACGAGACACTTGGTGACGGTTATTTTCGAGCTCTGATTTATATATATAAATATAGCAACAAAAAATTTAGCGTTTTGACACCATCCAATGTTATCCATTCCCCTGGCTGATGTTTGAACCGTAACCAGAGATGGTTTTTTTTCAAACGTATTGAACAATAATGACAATATTTTGTAAATTTCGTTATCAAATGAAACGTAAGAAACAATATTGCTCTTCACATCGAGCTCGGTATTCGGTAACTCGGTGTCCGGTAATTTTTTCTAATGTATTTTGTTTGTGTAAAATAGTGTTACAAAATACATGGGAAAAATACCGAACACCGAGTACCAAGCTTTGGTGTGAAGACCCATAATATCTACGATGCATGTAACCTGCCTATATACATATCGTCGCCTGGGTAAAAGATTGTCGTATGTAATTTCGGCAGGTTGTGTGAAATCGCGATTGAAGTTTGGAATGCAATTTCTCAAAAACGCGAAGATAGATTTTCTCCAAGGTCCCTGAAAATGTTACTAGTCCACAAAATTCTTAAATTATTTAATTTTTAATGTTTATTATTAATTAGTTTTGAGTTTATGAAGGATTTTCTTTAGTAAAATTTTGTCGTAAGCGTCATTTGTCCACAATTTGGCAGCCACATTGTATGAAATACGACAAAATGTGATAAAAATTTCTACTAAATTAACGACACTTTTTACTCAATATCTCGTAAACTAAAAGAGTTATCCAAAAATGGAGAACGCCATTTTTAAGATATTGATTAGTTCAATATTACTGCTTCACTAGGTAAATTTTTACTAAATTATCGAAAAACGTTTAGTCAATATCTCGGAAACTAAAGGAGATATCTAGAAACTGATAACACCAATCGAAAGACCTTATTTCAAAATCATAACTGTATCTATAACTAAAAATCATCAAAATTGCGCTTACGGCAATCTTTTACCCAGGCGACGATATCTATGTGTAGCAGGACAGCGTCTGCCAGGGCTTACTAGTAAATTTATAAATTTCTACTCACCTTGGCCCACTGCCAATTGTGCCGAGCATGTTGTACTCTCAACGCCAGCTGCTGCTTTCACAGTGTACGTTCCAGCGTCAGATTCTCTAAAATAATAAATAGAGAAAGTTTAATCAAAGCTATGTTTTACAAATTTAACCTGCGCCAAAAAAAATCTTAAACTGCTGTTGAATTGCTATACATTCACATAACTATAGAAAACACAATGAGGAAGTGCAAATATAACTTTAAGTGTAAAATAATGGTTTTCCTTCTGTCAGTTTTCATATCAAATTCAAATGAAAAAATCATATTTCAATTAAATTGCATTCGTGAAAGTTACTATTAAAGCCCAGTCAAGTTAGCTCAATGAATGGAGGTAAGCTTACGATAATTCGCATGAAGCTAAAAATTAATAGGAGTTGTGGGAACACCATTTTAAATGTAATGTAAAAAGTCCCCATTGATCCTACTACTGAAAAAAGGTCAAAAAGCCCTCAAAATTGGTTTTTTGCATTTTTCCACCAAACTTCAAGGTGGATTATAAAACAATTAAATAAAAAAACTTTTTAATATAACATACTAATACTATACTATACTATACTATACTATACTATACTATACTATACTATACCATATACTGCTCCCTCGTTATAACATAACAGAAAAGCAATTTAATGACCTTTTCCTAAAGTTTGGCAATAAGTATATTGTAGCAGGAGATTACAATGCCAAACGTACATTCGGGGTCTAAATTGATTACACTAAAGAACAGAAATCTATATAAAGTAATCCAGAACAGAGGATTTGACGTCTTCTCTACTGATCAGCCAACGTATTGGCCCTCTGACCCCCAAAAGATAATCGATCTTATTGACTTTGGTGTAACAAAGTGTATTGCGAGACACCATGTTAATACAGAAACATTATTTGATCTCTTTACAGATCATTCTCCCTGTCCCATGACATTATCAATGTTGAATAAAAATAAAAACAAACTCTTAAAGTAAGCACACAAACTGGGTAAAATACAAATATTATGTCAGTTTGCACATTGACCCGCAAATTCTTATTTGGACCAAGAATGATATCGACAGGGCAACTGAAAATCTCACTGACATAATAATTAATAGACAGCTGCATGAATGTAGTGGTTGGCATTTATGAGACAGTCGGTTGTGCTCCACAATGTTTGCTCACTCAACCCTTAAATGTAATTTCACAAATGTAATTTCAAATGTCAACGCATGAACGCAACAGAAAAGTAGCGAGTTGGTTTACTTTCGACGGCAACTGCGTTAACGTATTCGTAAGGGCGTCGTCTGTAACAACTGTCATACAAACGCATGTGTTCAATTTTATTTGACATTGATGCGTGACGCATTTTCCGGCGAACGCATGTTGTGTACCTTCGCTTTTAGCACGCAAGAAATAACCCATAATTAGATTTTTCCATAACTACTTAATAAATAAAAATCGTACTTATATTTATGTATTTTATTTATTTAAGATATGAGTGTGTACACGTAAGACTTTAAGTATTTTATAATACATCAATTGATGGAAATAACAAAATTGAAGGCTTATTTAAAATTTGAAGCAAACTTAAATCTAACAATAAATAGTTATAACTAATTTTAAAGTTTGAGGTACATCCAAGATCAAAAATGAGAAAACATAGAGATCGAGAAGAGGAGAGAGTTCAATCGCAATCACATTATATTTCCCGTGTTAAAATAACCGTGAATTACCTTTTCGTAGCTACCCCCAACCAAAGCAGTTTTGACAGATTCTGGAATGGACCCTGCAGGAAATTTAATTAGTTTGAAAGTAATTTATAAACTACTTTATTTCCGATGACAACTAATTGAAATTCTCACTATTTTACCTGCAACAAACTCATTTATTTAACATGGCGATGTCCTAGGAAGCAGCCATTTGCCTTTTCCTGCATGTATTTTCAACTACTTTAAAATGCATTTGGCTTAAACAACTTCAAAGTCAGTATGTTTCGTTTGAATACGTCTTCGTACTGCACTTCACAGATGCTTTTTCATAACTAAGAAAAACCGAAATTAAAAATTAAACGAGATTTGAACATGGACATTCTTGGCTACGACCAATTGTAGCGAACATCTTTGCACGCTCAGCTACAGCCAGACATGTAAATCTGCTTTCAAATGTTGAGTTTGAATTGTGTGCAAGCAGCAAGTCGACTGTCCGACTCTGCATTTAATTTCAACTACTTTAAAATGAATGTGGTTTACACAACTTTAAAGTCAGTATGTTTCTTTTGAATACGCTTGCGTTCTGGACTCCACAGATGCTTTTTCATACTTCCAAGACACAAATTTTTTTTCGAGCAAAAAGAGTATACAAATTCGAAAATTTACTCATTGCATTTGTTTTAAAGTAGTCTTTCAATTAGTTAATTTAAAAAAAAATCTATTGTTTCCGTCAGGGGAATTCCAGAGCCTCACAGCATTAATGAAAATGAGCCTTGACGAAGACAAATAGGATTATTTAGGAATAACCAGACATTGATGTCTACTTGACCTAGTTAATTGTAGTTTATCATAAAGGTATTTGGGAGTTTTATATTTGATGAGCTTGAACATAAATATACATTTTCTTGCCACAAGTTAATTAAAAACACCACATCCGAGAATTTTAGATTTCCACAAAGAAATGTGATAATATCTTTTGAGGCCATAGACGTAACGCGTAACATTGTTAAGCAAAACATCAATCTTGTGAGACGAAACAGAATCAAGTTTGCTATACACAAGCTCACAGTACGTGATATGAGGCACAATAAGTTGAACAGCAAGCTTTCTTCTTGTCTCCAGAGGTGTAAACGAAGCTGACGTTTTTCACCTATGCAAAAAAAACATAGACACTGCTAAAAACTTTATTAATGTGGTCAGAACAAGCCAACATGAAATTCACAACAAAGCCTAAATTTTGTATCTTGTCAGTAAACATTTATACACTATTACCAATTATAAGTTTCGGAATATTTGCCAAATGTACCACACTGTTACTGATGGGCAACACATAGGACTTAGCAGCATTCAGACAAAGACAATTATCATTGGCCCATTGCGAAATTGCAGACAAATCACTGTTTATTTTGAAACACAAGTCCTCCACAAGACCAACACGACTTGATATTGGACATTCACATACTGACAAACAGAGAATACAGCGTTGACAAAAAGACTAAACAAGAGGGAACCGAGAACAGAGCCTTGCGGATCATCGGAGACAACAATACTAGACGCAGACGAGGTAGCCTTGCAAGTCACCTTCTAGGAAGCTGGCCATAAGCTTTACAGAGCTGTCAGAGAATCCAAAATAATGTTTAAGCTTTTTGCAAAGAAGGTCGTGACTTACCTTGTCAAAGGCTTTAGAAAAATCCAGAAGGCAGAGAAGTGTCAGATAGCCATTATCAAACTGTACCCTAATATCATCAGTTATTTTTAACATAGCCGTGGCACAGCTATGCTTAGCTCTGAACCCTGACTGAAATGGAGATAACAGATTATTTCGTTGGACAAATGTGGAGATTTGTGCTGCCATTAGGGACTCGCAGACTTTAAAAAAGGCTGGCAGTATGCTTATCGGTCCATAGTCACTTGGATCGGTGGCAATATTCTTCTTAGCAACAGGAACAATCAAAACCTTTTTCCACTCTATTGGAAAATATGCCGTTATGAAGCAGTGATTGATGATATGTGTTAGAGTTGCCAAAATAAATGCCAGCACAAGTTGTAAGTAAGAAAAGGAACATTTTCAATAGCTAAAATTTAAGTCATTCCTAAAGGCACACTTAATGAAAATAAAAACAGACTTCAGATAAAAACATGTGTGCGTATGTATATATCTAGGGTGGCCAGATATTATAGTGACATAATCAGCACAGTTGGGATCAAAAATCAGTACACAGCCATAAACATCAGTTCATTTTTAAGCGTATTTTTTATTATTAACAATAAAGCAACCAGATAACAGCGCATTAATTTAACAAATAATAACTAATAGACTTTTAAATATACATAGTATTATCAATATAAAAATTCATTACTCAACAAACAAATCAAGGTATTACGTATGTATGTACAGCTGGACTCACGAAAATACAAGATTCCGCATTCCCGGCGGCGATGAAATTTCTCAAGTAAAAGTAAACTAAGCCGAATGGGAGGATAAAATAAACTGTAAAATAGTAAATTTTCTCAATAATAAATTTTTCGACAGGAAACGTGGTTTCATTACGTTAAATTTTAAAATATATGATTTATAAAAAAAATTAATAGCGAAATTAAAAAAAGCGCCGATTTTTGAGATAGTATTAGCAAATTTCAGTGCATCTGAAGTTTCTGAGGCGATGTTTACATTTACATGAGAATTGTCAAAATCGGCAAATCACAAGTAGCGGTTTCTGCAACGTGCTACATCGTGATGTGGTTGAATGAAACGCTGACAGCACTCCGCAAGATTGCAAAAAAATTTATGTTCGAAATATATTTTGATATGGAAGGAACCGCTTTACACCGTCAAGGAAAAAACTATCAAAACTCAATGCAACTTCAATCTAGCACTTTGTTATACTAAAATTAATTTTTTTTAGAGTTAATTAAAAAGTTTGCAATTTACGTGAAACTTTACAGAATTTCTTTAATTCTTGTACAAAGTTTGATCCAAAACTTGAGATTTACCAAATTTTTTTGAAATCTACCACATTTTTTTCATATTCTACCACACTGAATTTTTCTTAAGTCCGATCACTGGTTTCTGGTACAGAAGGGCTGGTAAATATTGAAAATGTCATTTTAAATTTAATCCTTGAAATTTCGCCATATTTGTTTTTGAAAAAATTATGCGTTAAGGGATTATATAAAGGGCTTATATAACATCCTCGAGTTTCGTTCTTCAAACTTTGTCAGCTTAAAAATTACCTATTCGTCCTTGTGAATCCAAAAAATTTAAATTTTTTAAATTCGAAAGAAATTTCCTATTGCATTTGTTACCCATATTAATCACATCTTTGAAATTACAAAGTCCTTCAAAATAAATCCTGCGGTCAGAGAGAAAAAATAAAAAC